TTGCTATAAGCCTATGATGGATTCTTTGGTCGCTACCCCTATTGCTATGGCTACTGGAAGAAGTATGCTGACCTTGAAAGACGCAAGGGTACCAAGGAAACAGTTATGAAGGTGAGTTCTCACAAAGTTTAGAAAGAAAAGTGATGAAGTGATGTTAAAAGTGAAGACAATTGTAACATGTTGTTTTCTTGCAGTGATCCCAAAGGTAGGTATTGCTTTAGCCTTCTGAATCCAAACTGAATGATGATGGAAACAACTGAAATGGAGGAAAATGTTTGCATGCTTGGGTTCACTGGGATACTGTACATGATATCTACCAATAATCTTATTAACCAAGTGCATATTCTGTTTCAGAGAAAATACAGAGCAAGGGTTTGTTTTGAATGTGTATGGAATACATTATATGTTTATGTTGTTATCTATAATTTTCTGCACATACATTTCTTGGTTTGTTATAATTGATATATGCATTGGGTATATATGTGACTGCTTTTTACTTATGCAAAATGGAATTTAAAAACAAAAGCAAAGACAAATGAAAGGCAAAAAAAAAAAAAAAAGAAAAAGAAAGAAAGAAAAAAAAAACAGTTAGAGCTGCAAACATCGTGTTCAGGATTGCTGCACTTTTTGTGTGAGGTTTTTGTGCACTTAATTTACTCTTGGCGTTATCTGGCGAAGCGGCAGGGGTGTCGCGTCCCTCTCTCACTCAGTCATCTTGGTGTCAGCGCGCAGAGTAGCCGTACAGCGCCCCAGGGTAACAACAGTAGGTACTCCCTCAATATACCGGCCCTCACTACCCACTGGCACCACTACCGGGGTTCCTCAAGGTCCTTCAGGAGGTTTGCCCTACTCCACTTAGAGGGTAGGCCCTACCCATGCCTTACATACACTGCTTTTCTCCATCGTATACACATCCCTATTCAGCATACACAAGATATATAGTGTGAGAACATGGGTTGAAGGGAGGCACACAGAGTACTCCAATCTTCTGTTATACCTGGGGGAACCCTGTAGAGTGACTGATGCCTATCTGTGTGGGGCTTGGGTCAGATGATGAACTATATGCCAACACTTTGTTGAATTGATGATACATTTAGAAGGCTTGACTTACTGGTGTTTTAAACTCTGATTGGGGATCTTGTATCCAGTTAGTTATATATGCGTTTTTTTTTTTTTTTTTTTTTTTTTTTTTTTTTTTTTTTCCCCTTTTTTTATCTCCCTTTTTTTTTTTTTCTTTCTTTACTAGGAAGGGTCCCCTGGATCATGGACTACAGGATCCCCTTTTTGGTGTCAGCAGAGTATACCAGAGAGTCAGTCAATATCTTGTTATTTTTTTCCCTATAGTCATCTAACTTTGTTATTTGATGGCAACAGGTGTTTAACCGGGGATTGGATGCGATCCGACTAAGTGTTGACCTGTGGCTTCACTTCATGGAGTACATCACATCGCAGTACCCTGATGATGAGGCATTCGTGAGGCAAGAGTTTGAGCGTGCCATTGAAACTTGTGGCCTGGAGTTCAAGTAAGTTTCTTAGTTTTCAAAATTTTATTTGTGGTAAAGCAAATGGAATTATTTTGTACATTTTTGCTGAATGGGACTGTGGACTTTTGCTCTTTAGATTAATTGATCATAAGTGTTGAAGAATAAAGTTAATAGTAACATAATGTAACATACATAACTTGTGATAGTTTTATTTTAGATAGAGAAATTTCATGACAAGTCACTCATGTCAAATGATGTAGAATTGAATTCCAATAGTTTGAATATGAACTTGATTACATTATAATCTTTCTGTGAATTAGGTACTATATAGTTTTCAGATTTTTTGCAATAGCAGAATAGCAGCTGTAATGACTCTGCCTCTGATCTCATGTTTACTCTGTGTAATATGAATGTGTGTGTATTAGACCACATATGAAGTATAAAAAATTGTTTAAACTTTTGCATTTTAAACACACAAGCTGTGATTTCTTGATTAATCCCCCTTCTCCCAGGTAGAGAAAGACTGAGAGTCTGGCTGTTAGTGAGATTTGAGAGTGAGAAAGGATATGATTATGAGTGCGTGAGTAAGAGTGAGAGAGATGGTGTGTGAAAATGAGAGGGAGGGAGGTTGGGAGGAAAGAAAGGAAAGGAAAGTGAGAGAGCGAGTACGAGTACGAGTACGAGTACGAGTATGAGATCGTGTAATTATAAGTGAGAGGGAAAGAGTATGTGTAAGTGAAACTGATAGAATATGAGTAATAGAAAGGGAGGAAGAGAGAAAATATGGTGGAGCATGAATGAGTGAGAGTAAGAGGAATAGAGAGAATGAGTGCCATGTTATTAAAACTGTATGGCCTCCATGCTAACAGTTCACAGGCCAAGTCAGCAGATCTCTACCAGTTGTTCCTTATTCGATGATTATTCCATTTGGTTTTAGGGCATACCACTCAAACCACACAAAGTTTCAAATACATTTAGATGGAACATATACCATACCATATTTTAGCATATGTGTTTCCAATGGTTGACTGCCATTTTGTCCTCTTACAAACATTTACAAAAGGAAATCTGTCATGTTATGGCAATATATCCATATATCCTGAAATAATATAAATCAATACATGGTAACATCAAAATATTTACATATAGTAGAATGTCCGAATGTTTTATGTGACGATTACAGGCTTGAATATACTTAGAGAAACAATTCTATAATCAGAACAGAATTCATTCATTATTTAATATGATTCTTTTAATGTTTGTATATATATTCGTAATTATGTATGTATATGTACATGTGTAATATTAAGCACTCTTTTATGTAAATTGACCAATATCAGTATAACGTTATTTGAAAGATGTAGATTGTTGATTTTCTGTTGATTTGTTGATTTTCTGGCATTCTACAATCGGTTACAGATTAGGAAGAAGTCTACGCAAATTCTAAAAGAAATAATGAGAGAGGATTTCACGTAAGGCTACCCTCATTCTGCCATTGTTAAAACTCTCAGTATTTGTGAAAGGGTTTGCATGAAGAAAGTAGCTTTCTGGAATGCATTAGTTTTTGAAAGGGTTCCTTAACAAGGGAAGGAACCTTCAATTTTATTTTCTTCTTCTTTTTTAATATTATTATTATTATTAATATTATTATTATTATTATTATTATTATTATTATTATTATTATTATTATTATTATTATTATTATTATTATTGATATAATAATACAGCTGTGAGAGTCTTCACCCTTTGAATCCAGCAATCACATGAACCAAAATACGGGCATTAGGCTTATGTAAGTGGTCGTTCTGTCGGTTGTGTGGCTTGTAGGCCAGGCACATGTGAATGCTTGTGTGGGTTGACAAGAATATATGCCTCCCCTTTGCAATGTTATTTTCTCTTTTTATGTATAATCTCTTTTAGCTTTTTTACCATTTTTCAATGTCTATATTTGTCATTTGATTTACTTTATCTAGATGGTAATAGACCCTTTTCCCTGCACAAACTCCAAATCATCCTTCTAGGTAGTAAATAACTAAAGAATATGTAAAATTTTGTTATTTGCGTCATTTAAATTTTTTTCCTAATACTCAATTTTCTGTAATACAACCTGCGCTGCCAGTCACGGCAGTCAGGAATAGGATGCTGAACATGGAAATGGCGTCCTCCCTGGAGCTGGCACTCTTCCATTTACAGTTAACAGACTTAATGGGAATAATGCCAAGTGAGTCTAATCAGACTCCAAGAAGTTTTTGCACTCATGGCGAATCTTTTCCATCAGCCTTCAGCAGAAACCCTCACGACAGCAAGTTTGCGTCACCCGGCCTGCAGCCAGATTTTCTGCTAACAGCATGTTCATGACACCTGCCCCTTTACCAAAAAATTTTCATGATGTGAGAGAAGTGAGTGAGTGAGATAATGGAGAGAGTGTGAGTGAGTGAGAGAAGAGAGAGGGTTTGAGTGAGTGAGTGAGAGAAGAGAGAGGGTTTGAGTGAGTGAGTTAGAGAAGAGAGAGGGTTTGAGTGAGTGAGTGAGAGAAGAGAGAGGGTTTGAGTGAGTGATTGAGAGAAGAGGGAGGGTTTGAGTGAATGAGAGAAGAGAGAGGGTGTAAGTGAGAGAGTGAGAGGAGAGAAAGAAAGAAATAATGAATGAATGAATGATCAGAGAAAGAGAGAGAGAGAGAATGAGAATGAGAGGTCAATCCTTTGGTTAGGATTTCTATTTTTTCAAATGATGTAAAGTATTTGATTATATTTTGCATTTTGTTTAATTGTATTTGTTACCAGTGTTTCCCAAATTGGTAGTATTATAATGGTAATATTTTCCCATAGGTCAGACAAGCTGTGGGAGGCATACATAAATTGGGAGAGTGGTGGTAAGAGATGGAAAAATGTTACACAGCTGTATGAGAGACTTCTAGCTACTCCAACAAGTAAATACATGCAGCACTGGCAAAAGTAAGTGTTCTACCCTTAAACTGTTTTTTCTTGGGGAGTGAATCTTGTGCCAAGACATAGTGTCAAAGGGATTGTGGGTGTAAGCACGTCTGTGCTCCGTGCATGTGTTTTAATGAAGGTAAGGTTAGATATCGTAGGCCTTGAAGGGATTACTTAATAAGTTAAAAATATGATTTTTAAAATGTTTTAAGCCTTAGGTGAGAGTATGATGTATGGCACATTGACAGTTTCACATCGTGTGTTTATTTGATTTTGATATAAGAAAAAAAAGTTAACCTCATTTTTAGGGTGAGCTGGAGATGTATGTATAACTAGAAAACCTTAAAGTCTGCGTTGAGTCAGAGTGAGATGTTGAAGTTTTACTTTTATTTGTGAAATCATTAGACTGCGTAGGTTTCATTTATGCAGTTCATGGGAAAAGATTGAACAAGAATGAAGGAAACTGAAAGAGAATGATTAAATCTTATTATTCTTATTCTTGGGTAGAACAGTATGTAGATCTCAATTTATCTTTGATATCAAAGTATAATTTGTAAATTATGTAAAGGATTATTACAGCATAAAAGAAAAAGAGAAAAATATATCCATATATAGAATACATAAAAGAATCCTTCCTTAGGGATTTTTTTTTTCTTACACAAGTATTCACTTCACATTTTGAATATATTATAAGAATGCCCTTTTCAGGCTAAATTAAAAGAAATTTGAAAATGAGTTCCCATTGCCTATGATGTGGCTCATGTACCTTTTAATTAGGTTCCAGGAGCATGTGAAAAAGCACCTGCCGAGTGAAGTTGTTGGCGTGGATGAATTCCTCAGTTTACGGCGGTCTGTCCTGACCGAGTTGAACCGCTCAGACATTGAGACTCCAGATGAAGCCCCCCCGGGTGTGGAGGCAGCCCCTGGGGACGAACAAGTGGGGACAAACGTGGTAAGATCGTTCCATATAGATAGTTTTTTGTGCATTTTATATTGTATATATATTTACTCTATTGAAAAACATGATCTAGCTTACTGTTTTACAAAGTCAAAGTACATTCAGTGTTAATCACAAATATATATTTATCTTTTGAAATAGCAAATTTACTGTCACTAGCATTGTAGGTGCCGTGTTGGATGACTTCAAAGTTATAAAAATGATTACAGGACGAAGAGACTAAAGCTCTGCAGAAGAGTATTATATCTGCACGCCAGAAGATTCACGAGGCAAATGTTGTAGAAGCAAAAGCATTGTGGAGTTATGAGGATGCCATCAAGAGGCCATATTTCCATGTGAAGCCACTAGAGAAGAGCCAGTTGACAGCCTGGAGGAATTACCTTGATTATGAAATTAAGCAAGGAAAAGCATCCAGAGTCAGAGTGTTGTTTGAGAGATGCCTCATAGCATGTGCCTTGTACGAGGAGTTCTGGATGAGGGTAAGTTTTTATATTGAGCATTTGAAAATATGGTAGTGAATTCTCTCTCTCTCTCTCTCTCTCTTTCTTCTTTTCATTCTTCTTTTATATCGTGTGTTTTGCATAGATGCATGTGCAAACATTGTGGAGGCAGGCAGATGAAAATATTTTATTTAGTTTTATTCTTGTCTCTGTTTTTATTTTAAAGAATTTTTTCCATTAAGCAGGTTACATATTACTTTTATTATTATTGATATTACCACATTATTTAATCCTTATTATCATTACTACCTCTTTATACAGAAGTTAAATTCTTTAGGAGACGGCCCACGCGCCAATTTTAAAACTGTCCAGAAAAATTTTTTGGCTTATAAATGTACAGTTGCTAGTGGGTTTAGATTTTCTGGTAATTTGAAATGTGATTTTGCAGTATATAAGATACCTAGAGGAATCAGGAGCACAAGAAAGTGAAGTCCGTGCAATCTACCAAAGGGCCTGTCTCATTCATCTTAGAGACAAGTTCAGACCACACCTTTCCTGGGCAGCATTTGAAGAAGAGAAAGGTAAGGGTGTCATGCACTTTTGTGGAGCAAAGAAATTACCACATGAAAACTATAATATGTATATATGAGTTCAAGAATAGCAACTATAGACCATATTTCTGAATGAGGAGATTCTTTATTTCACATGTTTTTGATAAAATACAAGTAATGAGTAACAGAATACTGTTCGATGTTGATAAGGTGGTAGAGAAAAGAAAACGTAATCCATAGTAAGCCAGTTTCAAAAAACCTATTTTTGAATTTCATGTTTCTGAATAAAGAAAGAATATATTCATATTTGGAAATTAAAGACAAGTTCAGAAGGATCAGTTTGAATATTCTGTGCATTCTTTAAGAACAGTCCAAAATATATTCTCAAGAAAGATTATAAAGATCTAGATTGTTGAACGAGAGCTTACCCTCTTAGAAACTTTCATAAGATATATATATATATATGTACATGTGATTGATTTTAGAAATTGGATCCTCAAATCCAATATGTGTACTCTTGTTTTGTGTTGGTTGTAAGTACGTCTCAAACATTTCGGTAAATCATTGTATCTCCTTAGGTGATGGAGACCGAGCCCTTGAGATCCTAGATGATATACAGACAAGAGTTCCTGGAAGTTTGGAAGCTTGGATGCAGGCTGCTGGGGTTGAGCGTCGCAGGGGTAACATGGAAGCTACAAAAGAAGTATTTGATCGCTGCCTAGCGATCTGCCAAGAAAGGGAAGATAAGAATGCACACTCGCATGTATCGCTCAAGTATGCGAGGTTCCACACTTTGGTTAGTGTTTTTTCTCTTTATATCTTTTATTTTAACCTGTTGCTGGCAGTTTAAATCTGTTTATAATAAGTAAAATCAGAATGCTTGTTGGCAAGGATGCAGTCAGCCATTTGTCTGGCTTTGGGTGCAGGAATTCAAGGGCTAAAGCCCCTCAGATGTGCAGTGAAAACATTGTTTTAGTCTCAAAAGCTAGAAAAATGTGTATGCCACAGCCAAACATGCACAGAGAAAGATAAATATGTGCTCTCCAAACTTTTGATTTTTCACTTGAGTGGCTGACTGCACATGATCATTGGAGCATGGTTCACTTCAGACAATCACCTGAAATCGCTGTCTTTTATATTTACTTGTCAATTTAGGTAAAAAAAAGAAAAAGAAAAAAAGATATAAGGTAAGTAATTTTACATACTATCACCCTCCAAATCTCAGATTCAAAACTTAACCCTACACTGGTGATGTGAGAATTTTCTATGTGGCACTCATTCCGGTGACTACTAGCAACTGTCTAGCCTTTCTGGCAGGCCATTTACTGTGTTCAGCCGGCCCTGTCTGCATCATGCAAGGTGGGCTTTCCATGACAGCTACAGCCATGCCCGTCAGTAAAGTGTTTTAAAAATTTGGCAAAAATTTTAAAACATTTTTAAAAAATGAGAGCCAGTGGTCCTTAAAAAAATCAGAAAAAATATATATACTTAGAAGACATTCAAACAGAATAGATGTTCAGATTTCTTTTCAATTGTATGTAAAGAAAATAAAAAATAAATAAAGATAAAAGGAAATTCTTGAAATAGCTTTATCTTTGAAATAAATCACGGTGTGTGTTATTTAAAATGCTGTAAGCCCCAAGGAAAGCAAAAATAATCATATATGTTATGTCAGGGAATGATAGGAGATGCAGTCAATAGGTGTCCAGTTGGCTCTTCTGTCATACAACTTTTTCAGTTTACACTCCCAGATGTTTTTGACAATTTGAAGTATGAATAGATTAATGCCAAAGAGAGAACCAATTATGTATATGAGTGACATGAAACTATGGTACATTCCCCAAATTTGTTTTTAATAGTGTGCAATGTTATTCATGATTTGAAGGCTGTAGGGTTATACAAAACAGCAGACTTATGTTTTTACTATTTTATAGCAAACTTTTTTTATTTCATATCTTCATTTTTATACATTTTTGTAACAAACATCTGCACAATCAGATGTTTGTGTAATTCATGACCATTACTTGTCGATAAAATAGCTGATTTCTGATGTTTAGAAATACAGTAATAACTACTATTTTTTGTTTTTTCTATGTTGTTTAAGCAGATAACCCTCTTTGTATTTATTTATGTTGTTTGGTAACTGATTATTTTTTTCTCTTTCAGTTCTGTGGTGACACAGACAAGGGAGTTGAGATCCTCAGAGAAGCTCATGAATATAACAAGGTAAGCTTTAAAGTTGTCCTGTTTGATTGACATTATTTTATATTTTAATTGCTATATTATCGTTAGGAAATAAGAAACTTAAGTATTTATGCTAATGTTGTTTTTTTTTCTTATGGTGCAGAATAACAGCAATGTGTTGCTAGCATTGGTGGATCAGGCTCTCCTGTGTCAGCCTCCAAAATTTGCTATGGCAGCAGAAATCTTGAAAGAGGGGCTTGATTCCTGTCAGCAACCTGGAACCAGACTGATGTTTGCTCACAGATATTTCCACTTCATGTCTGAATGTGGACAAGAGACAGACAGGTAAAGAACAGTCTCACCTTAGTCTTGGAATGTATTGAAATTGTACAAGTCATATCTAGAAATCCTCTATATTAAGAGGCATTTTACTCAAAATGAATCTGGTAACTAGACTGCCAAGTGAAAACCAGTAGTAGTTGTAATTTAGTACACGGTATTCTGACGAAATTCCTTTTTGTTTTTTCAGTGTGACCAATGGCCTGCGTGTTTTAAGGGAAGTTCAGATGGAGGTGAGACAAATGGATGCATGTGCGTCAGAAACAGATACTGCAAGTAATACCAGCAAGCAAGGAGATGCAGCCAGTGGGGGTATCTCTGTGTAAGTACACAATGCTTAATGGCTTTATTCACTCCTATTGTAGCACAAGTCATTGTCTAAACTTGCATTTCCATTTTTTTAACACTGGATGTCATAATCTCTAGACAGGTGATACACCTTATAGATAGCCATATTTGGAGCAATCAAATGTGCTTACCAATCTTAGAAGTCATTGTCTATAATTAGCTTTTTAGATATTATTAAAAAAATATAGACAGCCAATAATGATGAAATGATTATGAATTCAGACATTGTCTTGCAATTTTTCCCTTCTGTGTATACCAAACTAGTACTGTGATTCACTTTAAAAAGAATCTTACTTACTTTATTGTGTGATTTGTAGCATTGAGTCCCGGCGAGAGAAGAGAGGGAGCCAAGAGAAGACCAGTCCCAGCCCTGTCAATGGCACAACAGGAACAACACAGCAACAACAGGCAGTTAACACAAATTACCAAGGCTACCAGCAGGCAGGATATGGTGGCTACAACCAGGGCTATGCACAGGGCTATGGAGCTTCACACTACCAAGGATGGGGCTATCCAGCTCAACAGGGTGGTTATGGTTATGGACAGCAGGGTTGGGGGGCATATGGAAGTTACTATGGTCAGAGATAAGAATGAAATCATTCTTTTAATTTTACTCCTTTTAAGTGATTCACAGATATAAGTAATCCTCCATGTGTAAAGCATGATTGTATATTGGAATGCTTTGTTAACAGGATTTCCAAGTTGTCTAGGAGATTGCATCACTTTTTGTTGTATGGTGAGTAATGATAAAGTTCTTGATATTCACTTAAGCCTTTCAAGTTTAGATATTTGTATTGCGTCTCATTATGATGAACTTAGTTCATATGTCTTGAATGTACGATGGAGTATGTATGTCTTTGGCAATTTAGTAATACTGTGAATAAATGTGATTGCAAAAGGTAGTCTGCATGAGACCATACAAACCAGAGAAACTGTTTGAAATCTGGAAAATTATAAATCCCATCTTTAGCATATTTGATTAAGCTATTAAGTACAGTTGCATAGCACTATATTTAGGAAATATTCAGTGCAGAACTTGTGTAGAAACTTTGTGAACCAAGTGATGGGAAGTAAGGCTTTCAATATGTAGTGTTTGTTTCAGTGATGGGTAAAATATATAACAAAGAGGCCTGGGTCTCCCATTTTTAAATTTTAAGAAAAGTTGCTTGTACACAAAAAAAAAAAAAAAAAAAAATCTGGCACGAGAAATTAAGAATGTTTGCATACAGATTTTGTACAGATTTTACTTTTTTGAAAGTTGACTAATAAAGAATAAGAAATATCTTTGAAAATCGAGACTGGTATTGTAATTTGAAAAATCCTTTTTTGTCTTTTGTAGAAGAATATATTTCATTGATAGATGCTGTGTATACCAATTTGGTATAAAGTTTCAAGTTAAAAGGCTTTTATACCTTATTTTTACAGTATGCTTCTTTTTACTTTGTTCTACAGCTAGTAGAGACCAATGAAGTAAATAGTTAGAACATTTATGGTTCAAAATATTTTATTTTCTCATAAGGATTCCCTTCTAAAGTGTAGAAAATGACAGAAATGAGTAAATGATAGAACTGACAGTGAATATTTTTATAGATGCTGTATGAATATAAAAAGTAATTAAGTTTACTAAAATCCATGTTCATAAAACCAAATAAGAAACTAATTTTTTGTCTGTGTCCTAAGTTAGTCTTACTTTTATCACTTGCAGTCGACAATCATATCCATGTCTGCCACATAGGTGAATTGATATGCCAAACGGTCGTTTACTCATTGAAATGTTTTGAAACATTTTGAGCCACTTATTAAATTGAATTGTTTACATCTTGTTTTATTAAACATAAAGAGTTATTGTCACATGAAATTGAGAACAATGGTAACTAAATATATACATCTGAAACCACATGACATCTTTGCCCATGGAAGTCATTCTGTTGCTGACTGTATTGAGAGACAAGATGGTAAGGAAAAGGATTATGGTAAATGTAATTCTGTCTAGCTTCATCTAGAACTGGAATGATACTTTCAAAGATATCTATTGTGTCTACTGGTGTTTTAATGATGGAAAACAGAGCACAAGCTTCAGAGGAAATGTATATTGATTAAATTTGACTAATGAAGCTGTAAATTCAGTAATTGTTGAAAGCATTTAATATATTTATATGAACACTAAAAACATTTACCTCTGTCGTATTTCCATATTAATGGTTAGATATTTATCATTGATGATGACTTGAAAGCACTAGGATGCTTAAAGATTTTATGGTTTATACTTTGACTATTGAAGTTACAATAAAACTGTAAGATGATGTGGATGGTCAGTATAGACACATTTTATACTGTATAGGAAGAAGAAAAAAAAATGTGTTACGCTCAAATATTTAAATATTAACATATGTTGTACTCAAGCTTGACGAAAAACTAACGAAATGATAAAGGTAATTATCAAATAAAATGGGCAGTCTTTACTGGTTAAACTTATTAGTCCTTACAAGCAACGCACGCAACACATTCTATTTATCACCGTGCTCCTGCCCGCTATTTTTCCCCCCCCCTTCCCTCATCTCTCTCTCTCATCTCATGTCATCATGTCTTGCTCCTCACTCATCGTCCATCTTCATGACCAATTGGGTTTATTTTGTAACCGATGATTCTATGACTAACATTTGCGTTGATTGTTCAACGTGTAGGTAAGTGGCGTTTCTTTTCTTTCCGTAATGATTTACGACTCATTACGAGTCCTTGCTCTCGAGGGAGGAGGGGAGGGAGGGTTTTGCTTGGGTTGCCTTATGAATTCCGGAGGTTGAGAGCCGGAACGCTAGGGCGCCGATGAGATGCGAATCGTTTTAATAGCGTAATTATTTTCGGGGACTTCGGATGAGATAGGCCGTGCTGTAGGCGCTTGAGCGGGGGTGGTGGCCGGTTGTAGTGTGGGCGCCGTGGCGGATCGTAGCTTGCATAAAGACTGTTCTGCGTCCGTCTGGGATTGTTGTCGTGGTTGGTGGTGGGAGGCGATGAAATTGCGCTGAGAGGAGGGAGAGCGTCAGAGAAAGTGAGTGATAGAGAAGGGAGAACTAGGTGGATATGGGGTTTATGGGGAGGGAATAAATATGATATGAAGAGGCAAGTGGGATGATGGGATGAGAGAAGGAAGTAGGGGGGAGGGATGGAGGAGATGGGTGGAAGAGGAGGAGGTAGAGAAGGGGGGCATGCAAGCGGAATGGAAACTAAGGGTTTGGGTGAAGGTGGATGTGGATATGAGAAGAGAAGAGGAAAGGAATGGGAGGATTGAATCAGTCATGGAGGAGAGGCGAGGGTGGTGGATAACGCAGGAAGAGGGAGAGGGAGGCCTGCCGTGGGGGGATGTGGGACGATTAAGGGAAGAAAAAGAGAAAGAAGTGCAGCTGGAGAGAAAATTAAAAAGAGAGGAATGGTGAAGGGGAGAAAGCAGCCGGAAAACAAGAAAAAAAAAAGAAAAGGAAAGGCGAGAGGGAAGAAGGGGGAGGAAACATGATATAGGAAGACAAAAGAAAGACGACGAAAATGAGGTGAATCCAACCGAAAGTTACTAAATAAGGAAATATGATTATATGAGAGTTAACTTATAATCATTTCTCGAGTCACATAGTTGTACCCTGAAGCCTGGTTAGCCGACTGTTACTTGTAACTGGTTACTCTGTTTGGACTGAATCCGTGATTCCCAAAACAGTGATTTTCGTGTGGGGATTCTGTCACCGCTGGCATACCATTCTCCAACCCCGTCGTCTAATTCCCGTTTTTCCTCCAGCTCTCTACAGTCGGCTGCATCCCTCTTCGCTGCTGGTACTCCTTTCCTCCGTCTGCTTGTGGGTGTTAGTGCCTCTCCCTCTTGTCCGGCCTCTGTGCTTGCAACACCCGTCGACCCAATCGCTTGCTAAGAACCTCTGTATTACCACGTGTGTTGAGGGAGATGCGTCTGTATATGGAGCCTATACGTCCGATTATGTGTTCTCCCGGGTGGGAAACGATACCTGTTCCACACCTTTTATATTCCAATATCATGTCTCTCCTTTTTAGCCACAAATGCAATTATGTTTGGGAGGCTGCGCGGTTTCTCTCGTTGCCTTAGCTTTTCTCCTTTCTCCTCGGGCTGGCTAAACGACCCCCTACATATCTCTTCTTATTCCCATTTACCACTGGCTACAACCCTTGCCAATCCACCTTCCCATCCTGGCTAAATTCCCTTCCCCCTTCCGCTATCCTACACCCCCGCAGGCTCCGCTCCTCTCCCCCGCTAGCTAACTCCCGTTCCTTACAGATAGTTACCCTCGACTGGCCCCTTC